AAAAAAACGTTGAACAACTTCAAGTTAGGCCATATCGTAAAATCGGTTTGAAAAACTTCAGGTTTCATAGAACGAATCGGTTTCCAAAAAATGAAAGTTTTCTAAGCAAGCTAAGAAACTTTGAAATATTTCAAAATGTTTCATGAAGAAAATCGGATGACTCGATTTGAGGTTTTTATATGGAAGCTATTCGACCAATAAACCATTGAAATATTTCAAGTTGTTTCATAGAGGAAACAATAAGCAAAAAATTTAAGTTTTTTTTACGCAAGCTTGGTAAAAAGTTGAAGTTTTTCTTAGTAAGCTATTCAAGCTACGAAATAAAACATTTCAAGTGACTTCACAGAGCAAACTGGTTCGCAAAAGGTTCAAAATTTTCTCTGCAAGCTCTTTAAGACATGAACTTTTAAACATTTCTAAGCTATTGCATACACTGATTTGGTTCCCAAAAGGTTCATACACTATTAAGCTATGACACTTTGAGTTATTTTCAGTTATTTTATAGACTAAAAAAGTTCACAAACAAATTAAATTTTTCTATGGAAGCTGTTTAAACTATGAAAATTTAAACGATTCAAGTGCTTTCAAATAAACAACTGGATGGCAAACTGCTTTTCTGGTGAAACCTTTCAAAAGATTTCCAAAATTTTGCTCAGTTTTAAGTTAGTTTTTTGCGCGAGCTGATGGAGCAAGGAACTTCGAAAAAAAAACAAGCTATTTCTGAGACCGAATCGTTTTTACAGTTTTACAAAGCAAGCAATTCAAGTTATGAAACTTTAAAATAATTCAAGAGTTTTAATGAAACAAATCGGTTCACGAAAAACTTGTTTAAGCAAGCTATTCGAAACTTTGAAGCTGTTCAAAACTTCGAAAACTACAACACTTTTAAAAAAATCCCAGTAAATTCATAGACTGACTCAGTTTGCGAAAAATTGAATTTTTTTCTCAGGAAGCTTTTAAAGCTATGAAACTTTGAATAATTTCATTTTACTTCATAAACTGAATCGTTCGCGAAGTTCTTCTAGGCAAGCTAATAGAGCTAAGAAACTTTGAAATAGTTCAAGTCAATTCAAAAACGGAATCACTACACGAAAATCTTACAAGTTTTCTAGGCAAGCTAATAAAGTTAATAAAACTTGAACTATTTCAAGTTATTTCGTAGACCGAATCGGTTCGCAAAAAATTTAAGTTTTGTATGCACGCTTTTAAAGCTATGTTATTTTGTTTTATTACAATTTATTTCATTGATTGAATCAGTTTTCAAAAAGTTGAATTTTTTTCTCAGGAAGCTATGAAATTTTGAATCATTTCATTTTACTTCATAAACTGAATCGTTCGCGAAAAGGTTGCTTTTCTGAGCAAGGTTTTCAAGCTATGAAACATGAAATAATATCAAGTTATTTCATACAACGAATCGGTTCGCAAAAAGTTCAAGTTTTCCAAAGCAGGTTCAAAGCTACGAAACTTCAAATTAATTCAAGTTATTTGTAGACCGAATCCGCTCGCAAAAATTTTAACTTTTCATAAGCAAGCTTTTCAGGATAGAAATTAATCGAAATAATTCAATTTAATTCATAAACCGAATCAGTTTGTGAAAAAAAACTAAGTTTTCTAAGCAAGCTATTCCAGCTATGAAACTTTGAATTTCGTAGACTGAATCTGTTCGCAAAAAGTTGAAGTTTTTCTAAGCAAGGTTTTAAAGCAATGAAACTTTGAATTATTTCATGTTATTTCATAGACTGAATCGTTCGCGAGAAGTTTAAGTTTTTCTAAGCAAGCTTTTAAAGCTATGAAACGTTGAAACATTTCCATTTATTTCATAATAGACCGAACCGGTTTGCAAAAAGTTTCTTTCTGAGCATAGAGGTTGCTGTTTTTAAATAATTCGTTCCAGACTGAAATAATCTGTAAACGCAAAATTTTGGACAAAAAATAGGCAAGTACTGTCTAGCCTTGAAGGTGGATCGAGTTCATCTTTCTCTGAAGGTTGCTTTGAATGATTCTTAAACGTTGTACTCGATCGAAAAGTTAAAACGTTGCACTGTAAGCACTGGGTCAATCCGTAACTTTTTTTGATTCAGCACAGCAATCTAAAAAAAACCACCTTCAATTTGCCTTGATTTTAGGAAAAGAACTCGAAATTTAATTAAAACAAGATTGCTCGTAACGGCGAAGCCGTGAATGCTCTTACAGCCCTTTATAAAGTGTTTGAAACATTGTTTTCGAACCTTCAAATTTTTCGACTTAATTTTTAAAACTTCTCCACGCAGGCTATGTCAAGTACAGAAGGACATTTTTAGCGTCTAGTAACGAACTAATAATAAAAATTTCTGGCCTCAATTCAACTTGGAACAATTTAGTAGTAGATTTAATGGTGCATATACAAAACAGTCTGAAACATAAAAAAAGTCCTAAAAACAGTCCCCAACAAACAGTCCATAATCAATTGATTTTTTTACCTTGTTCTTTTGGCGACGACTGAATTGGTTCACGCTTTAAACCATCAAACATGAGCGCAATTGAAGATCAAAGAACCAAAAATCGAACAATAAATCAGATCAAAATCAAAGGCCTCATGGTATAGTGGTTAAAGCGTAAGACTCAAACTCTAGAGATCAAAGGATCGATTCCCTGGCGACACAAAAATTTTCCATTTTTCTGAAAAAGTTGGGTCAATATGAAACGAGTATATCTCGGGAACAAATAATGAAAAGATGGGCTCAATCGTAGAGAGTTGGGCGTGGGGGAAAAAATCAACAACTTGTATATATCCAGTAAATTGCCGGTTTCAAATCAAGCTGAGATTATATTTAAAAATTCAAAGAAACTATATAAATTTGGAAAAACTTATCGCTTGGCGATGTTAAATAAATTTAAAAATTGAAAACAAAATAAACTTATGTTATAGTTTATAATCATAGCTACAACCCCTAAGAAACCCAATGATATCGATGAGTGTTGGAAAGAAGGGTGCTTGCTGTTGACTAGCTTCGCAAAATTGCTGTTCCAACCTTCTACAGCGTTGCTGGAGCGGTTAAATTTGTTTTTTTTTACCCTTTGATAGCAACTCCAATGCTCTATGTCACATCTGGGCTTCTGTCGACCTTGAGAAGTCAGTTTTCTAATACAGAAGAAAGCTTAAGGTCATTGTTGTGATTGTGAGTGTTGCCTGACGACTGAACATCTCACCAGAGGCTTTGACTCATATAGAAGAAAGAAAACTAAATTTGAGCGCTTCTGATTGGTAGCTGTTAATGAGTTTCGCACATCTACTTCAAAATCAACTGTAACGCATTTTGGACACTCAACTTTTAGGACATTGAGAAGGCGACAATCAGTTGATTTCCTGTCGAGAAGCAGATCGTCAGCGAGAGGTAGGAGACATCCTTCAACTGAAGCGTGTTTTGTATAAAATTGGTAAAATACAATGAGCAGTCGAAAAGGTTCCATCAAGCAACCAATCATCTTATAGTCCAAGTATGTCTAGCCCAGGTAACGTGGTAAACAAAATAACCCGGTCTTCATCTCAAGGACTAAAATTGTCTGAAAAACTGTTCTTCGTCGTGAGTTTTCTCCAGGGCCAGAGGTAATTCAAAGCCAATCAGCGAATTTGGCTCTGCCATCTTCGGTCTTTTTTTTCCGCGACGAACTCCATCTACAGCTTGTTGGTTAGTGAGTAGCTTGGGAAATGAACAGTTGTTTTTCGGTTAACATCACGCTGGGTTGCAAAAATGATCTACCGTGGCGTGACATCCAAAACTGCTGCTCGATCTTAAAGCATTTTCCTGCACTGAAGTTTTTCGATATCATCCGGATCGGGTAAGTGACAAGGATCTTTAACGATCTCAACGGAGTCCTCTTTAGTACGCACAAGTCCATTGCAACTGCTTCGTGCACAGCCCGAGGACACTGTTCTGTTTTGTAAAAGACTAGTTTTTGGGACTTTGATGATTTTTCAGACTATTTTGTACAGGACTGTTTTGTATTGGACTCTTTTGTACAGACACGGATTAAATATATCTGATTTTAATCATCCGGAAAAAACGGATAAAATATGAAAAAACGCGTCTTTCTCTAACTCAGTTGACTTTAGGGGAATTTGTTGATGCAATATAGTGCAATTTGTTTTGCGAAATTCGGAACCAAAATTTTAACCCAAAAATATGTTTTTCTCAAAAAATTGTTCTCTTGCATAGATTTGTTGAGATTTTACTTTTCTAGAAATTTGTTGAGCTGCGTAAGAGGCTGCGTTGCATCTAACTTTCCTATCAATTAATTTGGTAGTATTTGCGTTAATTTTGGATTTAATTTTTGATTAATCAAAAATTGTCCCATTTTTGAGGTTTAAAATTGATTCGAAATTTCGGAAAATAAATTGCACCATAATTTATCTGGTGAAAGTGTAAGCAAATTTTGTTTTCCTAACTTTTTGTCTAATTTAAATCAGCACTGTATCCGCTTACGCGTTAATAGCACAAATATCTCGCGCGTTTATTGTCCCAAATTAGCTAAACTGGCTATTTTCAAACCCCGATAACATTCCAAAAAGTGATCAGAGGTAAAATCTTTTTAAATTTGAGCCCAGGCCATCACTGGCTTTCAGATGATATAATAAATTCCGTTCAAAAATTGCTAAAATCGAAGTTGGTGTGGAAAAAACCACCCAAAGCACAAATATTCTGTCACTTTCATCAAGATTCAGAACAAAAATGAGAGGTCAAACAACAAAAAAAATCAAATTTGGGGAGCGTGAACTTGTTTTCAGAACTTTTTCCGCGGAAAAATCAGAACGACCTATATAAGTGTTTTCACAACGTTTATTGACACCTATTACTCAAAATAGAGATTGTAAGAAAAAACTGCTATAGAAGGCGTTACATAGCCTTGAGGGTTTGATTTTAAATTGCAGAGTACATTTGTTGCATTATCTTAAAAACTAATTATTTATGATATAATTTTTATTGTTCTCGACCTAAAGTGATTTTTTATCCCTGCCTCAGAAAACCCTCATGTTTGCATTCGGGATAACCCACTCTTCGCCCTTGTTTTCTCCCTCCCCCTCTCCCTGGATGACGGTAGAGCCAGGGGAGCAACAGCAACATGTGCGAGGAACCCCAATGGATGATCTGATGTCGCTGTTTCTCGTCGAGGCCTCCCGATTCACAAATGAGTGCTACCTCTTCGGCATTCTCACCTCTATCATAGGCAAGCCACCAGTTCACTCATCTTAAGCAGGCTCAGTATCGAGCACCACAATCCGTATTCCCCCATCCATTTCACCATCACTAGCTTTCAAATGTTTAGATCACCGAACAATAAACCGATAATGATGGTTTCTTTATCCTTAGGCGTGTTTTTCAATCTCTTCTGCTACATCTGTTCTCTCTCACTCCCGAATCAGTCGACCAGTAGTATCCTTATGTCCTATTTGGCCATATGGGACACCATCTCACTCATACACGATGGAGTATTCGACATGGCTCTCAAGGTATAGTACATACAGTAGCTAAGTTCAACAAGAATAGCCGGTTTCTCTGCATATGTGATGTTATTTTTACAGAATTGCCGTTGAGGGCTATTGAATTACTTAAATAGCTGCCAAATAAGAAATAAAAGCAACTAAATTAAAACAAAAGCAGATTAACTAAATTGAGACTTCAAACTATAACCTGTCATTTGTAAATGAAAAAATTGGATAAATTCAGAGTTATCATTTGCTTTTTTTGGATAATTCATTTGCTTTGTTCGGAAGTTTGATTTAATTTACTTAAAAACTGACAAAGTAGAATTGGCGTAAGTTTTGATCAACTAAATCGAACCAAAAAATAATCACCTGCAAGGTAAAGTTTGGGTTCCATTTTCTCAAAACAATGCACCACAATAGCTCAGCTGAAATTTAAGGCAAACTTTTGTTTTCATCTACTTATTGGTAACGTTAACTCATTTTGAGCTGTATTCGCTTTGACCAGAGACTTTAAATCAGCACCGTATAATGGACTGCGTAATAAGATCTTAAAAACAACTGGTTCTATAGCAAATGGTTTCACAAAAAAAAACAACGGGTTTAACAAAAAATCAACTGGTTCAACAGGGTCAGGGGCGGATTTAGGGGGGGGAGGGGGGAGGGGGGCGTACGCCCTCCCCCCCCTCAGGGATTCGAACCCCTGCCAACCCAAAGGGTCCCCCCTTTGGTACTTTTTAAGAAATCCATTTTTGGCCGACCGACCCTAAAATTTTTCTAAAGGCGCCTTTGGCGCCAATATACACTAATTTTGAGGGGGAGCGCGCGCCAAAAAAAACGCGTTTTTTTGTCAAAATTTTCCAAGAAGAGCCCAAAAACGGCTTTTTTGACCTGTTTTTTCAAAAAGTTGCCTGCGGCACAGAAAATTTCGCCAAAACAGGGTCTTTTTACTGCTTTGGGAGAGCTCGGAAAATCAATCTGATCGACCTAAAAAAAAAAAAGGTCGTCAAAATTTTCAAAATTTTTTTGAAAATCCGCCCCCCCTCGAGAAAATCCTAGATCCGCCCCTGAACAGGGTAAAACGTTTTGATCCTCCGATATTTTTACACGTTTTGTCGCTAACGCGCAAGAAATCGCTGGTCGTCTCGAGAAAAAAAAACGTCTTCAGAGCAAAGCAAAAGCGCATAAATATTTAGATTTATAGCACCTCTGCCGGCCATTTTGTGGCACTTTTATGGATTTATAGAGCCTTGATTGTACTGTTTGCGCATCAAAGATTCCCCACCCAAAGGCCATTACTTTTTCATTAGACATTGATATTCATGGTGCGGTTTTAACAAAGATCTTTGACTCTTCATACCATAGGCACAAATAATCGCTTTAGTATTTTTCTTTAATACAAATTAGCACTCCAAAAAAACCATTGGAGAATTTTTCAAGCGATTTTACTATTGATGAAACAATTACGACATATCGATGAAGAACAGATGAAACGTAAAATAATAAATAGTCTCAACATTAGAGTGTTCAAAATTTGAATGCAGCAGCTTTCGATTCTGAACAATCGCTCGACTATTTCTTGTTCATTTCATCATCCGCTTTTTTTCTCCTTTTCAGAGCATACGTCATATCAACTTAATTCATCAATTGCACAATTCAGAAATAAAGATTAACTTGCACAATTTAGATATTAATAAAAAAAACATACCTGATTAAAAAGGTCATCCCAACTTAGTCGTCGGAACAATGAGCGGAAGCTCTGTTTATTATACAAAGCTGAAGCACTAAAAATAGGTGGAGGCTTTCGAGCTTTGAAATTAAACCGAAAGCATTATAAAAAGAAAAAAAAGAATAAAACAAAAAATCTAAAATAGTTATATTACATAGCCAGCTGACAGTTGGAAAAGAGTCAATGAATACAAGTAAACAGAAAAAAAAACACTGACTTGTTTCTTGAAAAAACTTCAACTTTTGAATATCAAAGGAACAAAATGCGCCCTTAAAGCTCTCTGAATTTCAAAAGTAATTTATGATTGACACTTTTTTGTCAAATTGAAGGCTACATCCACATTTAAAATTAACCCATTTTGAGAAATATGGATCAATAGATTAAAACTTTTATTTCGCTGGGAAATCTGATAATTAAATGCCATAATTAAAATCAGAAATCGATCACGTTTTTTATGACCTTGACATTTCTGGTGTTCGATAGTGGAGTTTAACTTCCTTTTAGCTTAATTAATTGAGAAAAATGGATCAAAAGATTAAAATTTTTATTTCGCTGGGAAATCTGATAAATAAATTCCCTTATCAAAATCAGAAGTCGATCAAGTTTTGGTGTTCGATAATGGATTTAACCTTCCTTTAAGCTAAAGAAATGAACCGAAATTAGAAAATTAGAAGTCAAATTGCGAAAAATTAAATTTGAACCTGAGCAATTTGAAGATTTTTCCTGAAAAAACAAGAAAAAAGCATCACGACATATATAAGAGTCTGGAAGACGTTTATCGACTCTTAAAAAGTTGAAAAGTGATAATAGGTTTAAAAAAATAATGTTGCACTTTCCGAAATGATTGCGCATTTTTTGAAGATTTTTTCGTGTTTTTTATTGATGTTTTAACTTCGAAAAATAGTTGATGCTAAAGCTCTAAATGAAGCTTTGAAAACTTGTTTTACTGGAGGAAACTAGGTTTTCACGTCTTAAATAAAAACGGCTTTTTATAACATCTACTCGCTCGCTACTCGTATTGTAACATCTACACCTACAATGTCAAAAAAATCTGCGAAACAACTTTTCATATTCGAGAAACAAAGCGAAGTAAGAAAATGCAGGAAATCTCGAAAACTTTCATTTCAAACCAAAAACTAATTTGAGAAATTTGGAGAGAAGAAGTTTTAAGCCGATCAACTCATTTCTTTTCGAATGGTAAAACACAAAAATATTAGCAACCAATAGTTAACAGAGCGTTAACAAAAGGAAAAAGAAAATAAAGGAATACTTAATTTCATGAATTAATTAAAGTTTAAGCCAATTTAGATTTAAAATTTGTGGCAGTTTTTCTGCGGCTGTTTTATTGAGTGATTGCTTCATCTTAAACATTTCGAGTGATTATTGGCATTTATTTCGCGTTGTTTTTTCTTGTGATTTGTCCATCAACTTAAGTATTTTTCGATTTTGTTGAGACAATACATATGTACTGTAGCTCTTTGCGTAATAATTTGAATAAAATAAAATGATCGAAAGATTCTTTTTTTGATTCCATTTTGATGTTCCACACCTAAAACTGGGGGAAATCCTGTTAATTAAGCTGAATGCCAAATAGAATTTTTTAGTATTTAGCTCAAACCTATCAATCGGCTCTCTAAAGTGCTCAGCTTAAAATAAGACTAGATTCACTTCTAAGTAGCAGCAAGAATTAACAACTCCAGATACGATCCAAACACATGATGTGACAAAGCTTAATTGCGGGGTAACTTAGCATGCAGTAGATTGGTAAAGGGAAGGTTCATATATTGGATAGAATACCATAGGTAGATTGCCATCGGGTAGATTCTCATGCTACCGTTTCGAAGTACTCGCAACGAGACTGCATTTTTATACAACAAAAAAGACGACATCCACACTAACAAAAGTTGGTAAAAAAGCAGAACTATTCCCCCGGAAAAAGCTTCTAAAAGTCACTTTACCCATTGTTCTTTAGAAACGTTCAAGATATAGGCACAAAAAACACAGTGAAAAATCGCGAGAATGTCTAAGACAACGGTTTCACTGAACTTTTACAGTTCATTGAAGTTTAATACCCGGGTGAAGTACTCATTCTAGCTTTCTCTGCACCACTTTTGTATGTCGACCTCGAATCATTTTACTAGGAGTGCTGTGATTTTAGTACTGTGGCGTGCATTTGGCTGATATGAGCATTGGAGGGAGTGGATTGATGTGCAAGCTGTTCTACTACCACTCCTGGGCCAGCACCCTCAATGCCAGTGCACACCTAGTGGCCCTGGCAGTGGACAGAGTCATCTCTCTGAAACTACCACTATTCCACCACAACCTCAGCATGCAAACATATGCCAGGTAGGAAAAACACCCCCCCCCCCCCCGATGTATCCAGATTGGGATTTTTGTGATCCAATCAACCCACCGCCTTTCGTTTCGAACCCTCGCCTTAGCCTCACCCAATCACTAACCGTAGCACTGTGTCACCTAGAACCGGAATACTCGTCAGGCAACTGTTAACTTTTCTGAACCGAAGTGGACAGTTATTTTTTTATAACTATCAATATCGTTCACAGGAGCAAGGAGGAAAATATTTTCTGCTACTCTGTGTGTGCTACAGAGTTGTGTGTTTGTTTGCAGGAAGATATCATGGTCTCTGACAGCTTTCAACTACATGGTAGTGCTACCTAACTTGTACTTCTTCGCCCTTGAGGACGGAACGTGCAAGAGCATCGGAGGCGAGTTGGAGGAGTGGATGGGCATTTATCAGAAGACTATCAACTACGCCCTCTTCTCTGGAGGTCCCTTCATCCTCATCTCAGTCTCAAACCTCGTGTTCATTCACAACTTATACCAGATTAGAAAAGAGAAGCAGGCGCGACTTGATTTAACGACACGAGTCATCGCCGAGAACAGCTGTCGTCCAGTGTCCTCGCGAATGACAAAGGAGGCAACGTCTTATGAGTCAGGAAGCGCATCTACGAGGCCATTGTTAACCATTGCAGACAATGACACCTGTAGACCAGAGAAGGAGTCAAAATATGTCAAAAAGGAGCTCGAGTTTCCCGCAGTTGACCACTATGATGACCTGGTCACAGAGGTTTACTGTGGACCAAAGACTTCATCATACAAACAAAAAGTGCAGCAACCTACAGAACCATTCCCCTGCAAACAAAGTACTTCTGAAATAATTGAAGACTTTGAAATAACAAACAAGGAAACATACCATTTTGGCAAACAAGCTAAGGCGGGTTCCACCTCAATGCCCGTTTTTCGAGTCACTGATTTTTTAACCAACGGAGAAACTCAAAGCATCAGAAAGATTCAAGTGAGCGGCAGTGCATCTCTGATGCAAGCGGAACTCAGTGTTTCGACACCCCAAAAATCAAACGGAGTAGTTCATATTAGTTCCAGGGAGAGTGAGAGAAGGGGAGAACTCACGGGGAGCCAGGATATCGAGGACAAAGAAGAAGAAACACCAAAGAACGATTCCAGTGTCGTCATCATGTTGCTGGTGGTCTGCTGTTCATATCTAGTACTGACCGCATTCGCCGCTTTCTTCAACGTTCTAGGCACATATGACCTCTTGAGTAAAAAAGTAACTTTGCGAAAACAAGCCCTCATTTTCCATTTTTTTTTAAATTTCAGAGCAATGTTTCATTTAACTAAGTACCGGTTACCTCAAGCATCAAATTTTGATGAATTTCTTCTTTCAGAACACAAAGAACTCTGTGGGCAAAAGACAGTTCCAGCATATCTGAATTCTCGACATAAAACTCAATAATCCGATATACTTAGGTCACCTCACACGCTTCCTTTCTATACCAGAGTTTTATTACATCGTAGTGGCGACACAATTTTCTATTTTCAAGCCAGTTGCCGATATAAACTACAGTAAAAAAACCACCTATATTTCACTTAACTTTAAGCGTCATTTTAAGCAGTTGTTCAACTGGGTCATCTGGGCTTTTCAAAACTTTGAATCTGTGCAGGACACCATTACATATCAGAAAAACCAGCTGAGTCCACTGCTTCGACTTCAAGGTACATGTATGAGAGATGGATCCCTAGACAACTAAAATGATATATAGATATCCCTACAAATAGACACAACAGATGTTTGGCGAAAGGTAAAAGAACAAGGAAGCCCAAAAAAGTTAATCAAAAATTGTTAAGTAATTTTCAACTTTCGAATAAAAAGTATATTAGGTTAAGGCTCATTGAATTTCAATAATTGTTTAGAATTGGCTTTTTTCATGAAATTATCCATGAGGCGACAATTCGTAATAGGAGCCAACTTGTAACAAGCGACAATTCGTAATAGTAAATAAGCAAGCGAGGAACACTGATTTTGCTGCAACAATTTACGACAACAACAGGAACACTGATACACTCACAGTATTCCTCTCTTGCCGGATGTAAGCGCAGCTGAACGAGGCGGCGCAAGCTTTTCCTACTTGTCAATGCCTTGTTACGAATTGTCGCATTACGAATAGTCGCCCTACCAGAATTATCCCAGATAAAAAAGTAATTTTTTTATTGAAGTTCATTTTCGAAACAGGAAGTCATTCACGGTTTTCGTCCCCTTAATACTTTTCGAGACTTTGACTATCTTTTCCAAAAAATCATCATGACCTGTATAAGTGAAAATCTTTTCGTTCTTTTAGATTAAATTACTTTTAAACCACCATGGAACCCATGAATAAAGTTGTAATGCAATCGAAATAATTCCTCGTACCAGCCAGACACATTCACATACATCTCATTCGTTAATTCAAACTGGAAGTAAATATTCCTCCATATATTCAATGGCCTCATATGTACGATTTCGGGATCCATCTTGTACCCTTTCATTTGAAGTGTGGAAGATGGGGACAGAGAGAGTGTGTTACTGTTTGTTCAGTCAATGGCAGAGATCCCGGCAGTCATGAACAATTCGCTCAACTTTGTCTTTTACATGCTGAGTGGACGGACATTCCGAAATACTTTCATTCATAAAATATCCAGTCTAGCACGATAATTCTCAGCGTTCTATCTCTGTTCTAAGACCAAAGTTTAGATATAGTGTAGATTTTCACCCAATTTTATATATACTGTTTGCATGGAGGTCATCTCTGGGGCCAAAAAGTGAACAAAGAACAAAACAGAAACTCAAAAAAATAAATTTGCGCTACAGCAGTAATGTCCATTTAAAAATCAAAAGGGTCCAAAAACAAATACACGCTACTGGTCCCATTTCAATTAAACTCTCGTTTTTAAACAAAAATGTTCATTTTAAGTTTTCTCCATTTACTTTTTTTCTTGAAATAAATCGAACTTATTAGTCGAACTTAAAATTATTTAAACGGACATGAACACGGCATAGAAGGGACAATTCACCCCATAATATACTGATTTATCCATTTTGATGTTTAACAGTGTTTAATTGAAAAACTGTCGCTTTATCAAAAGATGTCAAACTTATCTGCACAGCTGAAAACGTGTCAATTTGGTATTAGTTTTACTTCGCGGTAACATAAGGAACTGTCTGTCTCCCATCACAATTTCAACCTGATTAAAAAAAGCGGCGAGAGAATGTAAGAATTGATATAAAATCAGATTTTAATTGACAAGCTGACGGTTCATCAAAAACGTCTTAATTATCTGCAAAACTTATTTTACTTGGTCTTAAAAGAAAATGTAATCTTTTCCAAAAATCTTTACATCTGATTCCAGAAGAACTCCAGAGCATTTAAGTGTCGAGATAAATTATCTAGCATACGACGATGTTCAATTTTATGCACTTCTTAGTTAAATTAAATTACAATGAGCCACCAAATAAATTATGAAAAAAACTTATTACTGACTACATTTCTAAATGGAGAATAGTTATCTTATCTACTACACAATAAGAGGGTACAAACATGATTGAGAAAAGGAAGTTCATGTGAAAACATGTGAGCGATAAGAACATGTTACGATAACAAGGATAGACGGTCGCTATGCAAGTAGCACAGAATGCAGACCATAATAATTCAATAAAAAATCAGAAGTGAGAACAACATTGTAAAGATTTCATCGAATGTATTTTTTCATTTTTCCTCTTAACTTATTGTTAATTTTCTAAGTTACGAATGACTGATTTCAGTAAAAAACCCGAAATGTGATAATATGTAAAAAAAATAATAATGTTGAAATTGTAGACGATTTGATTTGGCGCTAAAACGCTCAACACATTTCGTCTAAATTAGTGTAAACACCAAAAATATTTGGACCGAAACTGAGAAAACGTTTTGATTTTTTTAAGAATCCCAATCACGAATAAAAAGACTTTTTATGATGCCACACATGACTCCAATTTTCCTTGAGGTAGCCAAATGAAACGCAGACCAGAAACCACAGTTCGTTTTCACTTTTCGACAAAGCTGGAATTACAGCGTTGAACACTCAGATGATATCTGTAATTAACAGAGACAAGTTTATGGTTTTTATTAAAGAACTTCTAAGTTTTCTAGAAAAACAGAAAATCCATCTTAATCGCATAAGCAAACAGCCAGAGGCTTAAAACATAAGTTGACACACAGGCGAAACTTCGCTTTGCAAACACATGAGAGAACACGACAAACAGCAGCTCTATAAAGTGCAATGGGAAAAATTATAGAAAAAAGCCTCGAATTAGTGAAAATTCGGCCACGTCTCGGGTTCGAACATGCGACCTAGAGATTATGAGTCTCACACACTAACCATTCTGCCACGAACGCTTAATAGGGATCAAACCCTCGCCAAAACAAATACTTAACACAAATTAAGCAGAAAACAAATGCTATGCAATCTCCAATGCTGCAGTAAAACTTCCAAAAAAATGAACTTTTATTTGCAAGTTAGGTTAGAAAAAAAGAATCTTCGTAATAAAACATTCCTAACACTTTAATTTGTGAGTTAGGTAAGAAAAAAAAGAAAGTTCGTAACAATACAATACGCTGATTAATAGCGTAAGAAAAAACAGTTAAAAGAAAACAACCCTCCCGCGCAAATGGAGTCTATGAGTCAGTTGGTTAGGGCAATCAAGGCATGTTCTACCTTGTTTAAAAAACATTTAACAGTTAAGACTCATTTACTCAACAATATTACCTGTTGATGAATCAACCGGTGGAGCGCTTCTTCGGAGCGAACGCGATCTGCGTGTTCAGAGCACGGAGCTACATAACAAGGCAAAACCTAACTTCGTGGATATATAACTGATGACAACTGCGTAGCTGTCGTCAAATTTAGGCTAAATTTGTGAGCTAGTCTTTTAAAAACGAGCGAAGACAACGGACGGTCCTGACCATCTTGTGTCGGCAAAAATTAGCGAATTAAAGCTAGCGAAATTGACATCAAAAATTCGTAAGTAGCAATTCAGCGCGTTTTCATGCTGTTTGGACGCTTTTTGGAGCATGTCTTGGCATGTGAATTAAAAACAATCACTCGAAGCAAATTTCACTGAATCGAGATTCCCATACTCCATCGGCTTTAATATCTGATTTTTCTTGCTTCATTATCAGCGCTAATAGACTTGCAAGTGAATCTTGCTTTGCCTTAGAGCGGTTGAGATGTGGCTCAATTTCAACATCGTTGCACACTTCGTTGAAAAAGAAACAAAACATCTCGTATCTCATGTATAATGTGACTATCTCCATCCTCTGGGACAATTAAAGCATGACTGAAGGTAGAAAAACTCAACGCATGAGCAGTTCTGCGCGAGGTTACTTGGTTTCCATCCGTATCTTAGTGCTTTCCGTCTCTGAACTCGGCTTTAAATAGAATTTTTCGATGACACCGATGATGCGTCAAAGAAAATTGCCCGGATATCGATTGCAGTTCGCAGCAATGCATAATTTGCACACGTCGGTCAATCTGTTGCACCATATGTATGTCTGGTGTCTTACAAAATGTTGGTCCTATGACAAAACTACCACCTGTACGATCATTTTATCAAAATCAGGCAAGACAGTATACTGAGGCTGACGAAAACGGAAAGAAGCAGTACAAGATTTTGCAACAGGTCGGGTTCTAGTAGAAACAATTTGTTCATATACTCCACGGAACTTATCCTCTCGAAAAACAAGTACCACTATAACCGGCTTGTTTGACCACTGGATGGCGAGGAGATATCACTCGCGTTTGCTGTGGTTTGATGCGGAGGAACGTGAATTACGTATCATTTGCTCAAATCCTCTTTGATAGTCTTATACTATTGATCTCTGAGTTTGAGTCTTTTTCAAATGCTTTTCCAACCTTTTCAGGAAGCAAGTGCCGAGTTGTAATTATCAGGCAGGATGACACGGTTTCTACCCAGAGCATGGCTACGGTATATCCTTCATCGCCATAATTCGTTGAAAATTGGAGTATTGCAAATGCTCTTTTGTCAGCAGTGGAACCCGGGTCTACCTGCATGTAAGCGCCAACTCTAGCTCGCACCAGGATTTTACTAGACTCGCAAGTTCATTGTCATCAAAACTTCACAAGAAGCAAGTGGAACGGAAACCACAAGCATAATATCCAAACCTGAGACCGCTTTAAATCCAACCTATCGGTTTTAAATTCTTCCTACCTGACAGCGTGGAACGTGCCCTGACCAATTACCAAATCTACATCAGCGTAGTTATAAATAATTGCACGTATCGGAGCAACAGCAGGATACTTGTTTAGTAGGGAGGGAATGCTGACATTATCAGAACAAACTTTTAGATCGATTTTAACTATTATAAAATCTGCTTCGTTCTAAAGACACTAATTGCATTGATACCGTTGACCGTCAGATATAATTCTTTGCCTCAAAGATTCAGAAAAATGAGTAATTTCTAACTGATACCAAGAAATGATTTGATACCAAATCACACAACATCAGACATTCAGCTTAAGGGAATTCTGAAAACATTTCAAGTTTAAGAATGGGCAGTAACTCTTTCGAGGCCATCTGCATCGATTGATTATTCAGTATTGCGTAACCTGCATCTACTGGAGTGGGGTTGGTGTACGTCTTACGTGAGCTGGCGCAAGATAAACTGTTCCTAGCGCCATCATTTTCCCCCGGTTCATCATAAGTTGCTCAATAAGCATTCGTAATTGTTTTGAGATTTGCGTTAGCTGAGTTGGCAATGGTATTATCGGTATTTGATTGCGGTACACTCGGTCAGAGACATGAAGCAAAACATTATGAGTGCTAGTGCAGCCTGGTTCGAAGCATTTCTTAGCTCGAGGAAACTCGCGAAACATGTGGCTTCTTTGCAGGCAAGACAAACACAGTTGTTGACCGCTGATAATTTTCCTATACTTCTCGGTATTTTCTCCTTAAACACAGAGCACCTACACAACGCACTGACATCAACATTGCTCAGAGCACGGAGCTACATAACAAGGCAAAACCTAACTTCGTGGATATATAACTGATGACAACTGCGTAGCTGTCGTCAAATTTAGGCTAAATTTGTGAGCTAGTCTTTTAAAAACGAGCAAAGACAACGGACGGTCCTGGCCATCTTGTGTCGGCAAAAATTAGCGAATTAAAGCTAGCGAAATTGACATCAAAAATTCGTAAGTAGCAATTCAGCGCGTTTTCATGCTGTTTGGACGCTTTTTGGAGCATGTCTTGGCATGTGAATTAAAAACATTCACTCGAAGTAAATTTCACTGAATCGAGATTCCCATACTCCATCGGCTTTAATATCTGATTTTTCTTGCTTCATTATCAGCGCTAAGAGATTTGCAAGTAAATCTTGCTTTGCCTTAGAGCGGTTGAGATGTGGCTCAATTTCAACATCGTTGCACACTTCGTTGAAAAAGAAACAGAACATCTCATATCTCATGTATAATGTGACTATCTCCATCCTCTGGGACAATTAAAGCATGACTGAAGGTAGAAAAACTCAACGCATGAGCAGTTCTGCGCGAGGTTACTTGGTTTCCATCCGTATCTTAGTGCTTTCCGTCTCTGAACTCGGCTTTAAATAGAATTTTTCGATGACACCGATGATGCGTCAAAGAAAATTTCCCGGATATCAATTGCAGTTCGCAGCAATGCATCATTTGCACACGTCGGTCAATCTGTTGCACCATATGTATGTCTGGTGTCTTACAAAATGTTGGTCCTATGACAAAACTACCACCTGTACGATCATTTTATCAAAATCAGGCAAGACAGTATACTGAGGCTGACGAAAACGGAAAGAAGCAGTACAAGATTTTGCAACAGGTCGGGTTCTAGTAGAAACAATTTGTTCATATACTCCACGGAACTTATCCTCTCGAAAAACAAGTACCACTATAACCGGCTTGTTTGACCACTGGATGGCGAGGAGATATCATTCGCGTTTGCTGTGGTTTGATGCGGAGGAACGTGAATTACGTATCAGTTGCTCAAATCCTCTTTGATAGTCTTATACTATTGATCTCTGAGTTTGAGTCTTTTTCAAATGCTTTTCCAACCTTTTCAGGAAGCAAGTGCCGAGTAGTAATTATCAGGCAGGATGACACGGTTTTCTACCCAGAGCATGGCTACGGTATATCCTTCATCGCCATAATTCGTTGAAAATTAGAGTATTGCAAATGCTCTTTTGTCAGCAGTGGAACCCGGGTCTACCTGCATGTAAGCGCCAACTCTAGCTCGCACCAGGATTTTACTAGACTCGCAAGTTCATTGTCATCAAAACTTCACAAGAAGCAAGTGGAACGGAAACCACAAGCATAAAATCCAAACCTGAGACCGCTTTAAATCCAACCTATCGGTTTTAAATTCTTCCTACCTGACAGCGTGGAACGTGCCCTGACCAATTACCAAATCTACATCAGCGTAGTTATAAATAATTGCACGTATCGGAGCAACAGCAGGATACTTGTTTAGTAGGGAGGGAATGCTGACATTATCAGAACAAACTTTTAGATCGATTTTAACTATTATAAAATCTGCTTCGTTCTAACGACACTAATTGCATTGATACCGTTGACCGTCAGATATAATTCTTTGCCTCAAAGATTCAGAAAAATGAGTAATCTCTAACTGATACCAAGAAATGATTTGATACCGAATCACACAACATCAGACATTCAGCTTAAGGGAATTCTGAAAACATTTCAAGTTTAAGAATGGGCAGTAACTCTTTCGAGGCCATCTGCATCGATTGATTATTCAGTATTGCGTAACCTGCATCTACTGGAGTGGGGCTGGTGTACGTCTTACGTGAGCTGGCGCAAGATAAACTGTTCCTAGCGCCATCATTTTCCCCCGGTTCATCATAAGTTGCTCAATAAGCATTCGTAATTGTTTTGAGATTTGCGTTAGCTGAGTTGGCAATGGTATTATCGGTATTTGATTGCGGTACACTCGGTCAGAGACATGAAGCAAAACATTATGAGTGCTAGTGCAGCCTGGTTCGAAGCATTTCTTAGCTCGAGGAAACTCGCGAAACATGTGGCTTCTTTGCAGGCAAGACAAACACAGTTGTTGACCGCTGAAAATTTTCCTATACTTCTCGGTATTTTCTCCTTAAACACAGAGCACCTACATAACGCACTGACATCAACATTAGAAGGTATCGAACTGTAATTGCCAATGTATGGGTCGGCTGCTATCTGTGGAACTTTTGTACAATTTTGATATGATGACTGTTGGCCGTAGACAACTGGTAAGCTATAAATATTTCGTGAAGCTTCAAATTACCTAGAAAAGAGGATATGCTGTGTCGCGGAACTCAGACGAGTCACGGAAGATTTGGAAAATGGAGTTTTGTAAACCATTGATATAGTTAGATAAGTAAATGCTGATTCAATGATCACGAAAGTGGCACAATGATGCGCCTGGACCTTTAGCATTTGAGGCAAGGATTGTGCCTGAAGCCCCAGTTTCTTCCAGTAAAATTCGCTGGCGGTGGACTTACTCAGGGCTTTTCTCAGTCTCCATAACAAGATCAACCCACTCTTTTACTCTTTTCGAACAATGGTAAACTGCAGAATACTGATCTAGATGCTGATCTGTATCAGATTCTTCCTGATGCTATTAGCCGATAATCTTTTTCTCTATGCTCTTTTTTTAGTTTGACGTTATTGATCTTCTAGAATACCATCCCGATGATTGAGTCTTAGGCTAGCTTATCTCTGTATCTCTAAACTCACTCGCTTCATTTTAGCTATAAGAAGCCCCTTACGAGGTTAACTGGGGCTTGAAGTAAAACCAATGTAAATTATATGCTAAAACCAAAGGCTCGTCCTTTCTGGCTGCGGTTTTTCAAATGTTGCTTTGCATGATTTTGTCAGAGTCTCAATCTTAAATCACCTATCTTGTTTTTCTGAACCTTCTCTTAAGGAATCATTTGTCTATTATACAGCAAACTCCAGTTTTTTAACTGTAACCGTCATTTTTGTTCAGCAAGGTACATGATAGGGTTTTGAAAACAAGGTGCAGCTAACTATCAGCTAGTATGAACAAGTTTTGGGAAATCAAGGTTCTAAGGGGGCTCACGCAAACCGCGACCTAAAGCCCCGCGACACCCTGAGTAAAAACGTAACTGAAAATCGAAGGAATTGTGTCCAAAAAGGACATTGAAAGAGACATTGTAAAGAGAAACCTCGAGTTTGCGATTATTTGTGTCTACTAGCGTAGGAATTGAGTATCATTTTATCAGAAATTTAAGCAAAGAAATTGTGTTTAACAGCATACAGTCTTGATTTTTAGTCATTTTAAAGAATCAAGAACTTAATATTCGCAAACACTAGTAAAAACACAAAAAGCAGATCTATTAAGTACAAAAATAAAAACATAAAAATATGCATCGAATTAGCAAAAATTCGGCTACTTGTGAGATTCGAACCAACTGCTAGAGATTAGGAGTCTCTTACGCTAACTACTCAGCCACAAAAGCTTTTTAGGTAGCAAACACTATCCAAAACAAATAGCAACACAAATTAAGCAGAAAACAGATGCTATGCAATTTCCAACGCTACAGTGAAACTTCCAAATAAGTGAACATTTTTAAAGAACACTTTTTTGACGAGTTAAGATAGAAAAAAAGAAGGTTCGTAATAATACACTAAGCTGATAGCTTGTGTAAATAACGGGGTGATGGCAGTACTATAAATGGCCATAGCTGATGGACCACCTTGGATTGTATCTTTTTGTGTACCCAGAAATTAATTATTAGTTATTATTCAAGTTGACAACATCTCACTTATTTAGAGCAGTTGAGACCTCATTGGCAATTGCAGTGCACGTGTGATTTGAAACCGCAATCATATGGTTACTGGGCACCATCAATATCGGAGTGCCACAAGGTCCCCCCTCTCTTAATCACCTCTTTTTGGTACCTTTTTGGTGGAGCTGACTCCTTTGGGCGGGATGATATTCTGTCCAATCTTGTTGTGCTCATTGTTTCCACATGACATCATCAGACCACTCCCAGTCAGACAGATGGTACAGTCTACACCACAACACGCATAAGCCACTGGCTCTTCTATTGCCCGTTTCTTACCATTCCTACCAACTGCACATTTCACCTATACAACATTGGAATAACATTAAGAAACGGAACAACACCAACCAAAAGTGCACGAATTATGGGATGGTTAATTGAGGCCTAATAAAGGAGATGAAACAAATTATGGGATGCTTAACTAGAAAAGTTCGAGAGAAAAAATGACAGAGGGATTTTGAGCTCCATTAATTACCTTCTGAGGCACCATGACGTCATTCTCGTGGCCCAAACCGAGACGTCCAAACTCGCCACAACCCCACGTGAACAACTCGCCCGATTCTGTGATGGCTGCACAGTGGTTGCTCCCACATGCAACGAACTTCACTCGATTGTTGATACTGCACGGTAGCAAAACAGGGGTCAGAACGGGACAAGTGACGTCGAGAACAGCTGATCTTGAATTGTTTCCATTAGCACTTACACTATTTCCTACTTGCTCATCGTTTTCAGTGGTGTTAGGAGACCCAGTTTCATCCATGTCGGCTTCTTGGGTCTCATCTTCATCCTGGTCCTCTAATTCGAGAGGCATCATTCCGCAAAAGAACAGACATTTATCAGCTGAAACACAGCCAACTGGCAGTTGGAAAAAAGGAATGAACGCAAGTAACTTTCGAACTTCAAAGAAAAACATAGATGCCCTTAAAACTCTTTGAATTTCTTGCGCGCTATGATGCGCGCTTTTTCGATGAAATTGACCCTATGTGAGAAAACTCAATCAATAGGTAAATTTTTTATTTCGCTGGGAAATCTGAAAACTAAATTTCACTTTCAAAACTTGAAGTCGATCACGTTTTTATGAACTGGACTTCAAAATAAACCAAAAGTCAAACCGCGAAAAAGTGAATTTGAGCATGAACAAATTTTAGTATTTTTCCTCAAAAAACGAGTAAAATCACCCTGACCTATATAAGAGTCTGAGCTACGTTTCAAACGACGACACCTTCGAGTGGTGTATGTGGTGTATCCGACAGCCCTGCTCGACGGGTTGCAAATGGTGTCAAGCTCCCCCTTCCATGGGTCGGGGGAAGCTCAGAAGTCTCCGGGTTTTCGGCTATAGAGAGTCTGAAGCCGGCCAGGCTGTTCCGTCTGCTAATCTTCACTTTAATCCTTCGCTTCGGCATTAACCCAAATCCTGGTCCTACAACTGTTCGCCATGTTTACATACACCGTAAACAAGCAAATGTCTAGTGCCACATATGTGGCTGGATACATTTTAAATCCAGTGGCTTGAAGTTTTTAACAGACCATTACCGTGATTGATTTTACTGCCCCCTATGCACCTCTACGTATATTTTACCTCTCCCCGGAACCAAAGCCACTCCCTCTCTCCCCGTAACAACTTTCCCCAACCACACAACATCAGCCCTTCAAATATACCAGCTCACCATGATCTTTCGCAGAACCCACTACTGACTAATCCCACAAACTCCTCGACCAACACTCAACTGGTTCAGGCACCCTAAGACTACTACAAATTAACTTGTAATGGAATATCTGTGAAAGCCCCCAAAATTGCAGCTTTGCTAGCGCAGAATCAACTCCATAATTACCTTTTTCAGGAAACCAAATTAAGAAAACGAAGTTCTAACCCCTCCCTAGGTCCTTTATACTCACTAATCCGTAAAGACAGAAACAAAGAGGGTGGTGGCCTCCTCATTGCTATTCACGAATCAATACAGTAAGAAGAACTTAATTTAAATACCGACGGTACGCTAGAGGCTATGAGTATCTCTGTGGTAACCAGTTCGTCGAAACTTCGTATTAGTAACTTTTCCATATCCCGCCTTCCGAACTAGATGTCTTCCCGGTTATACCGCATCCCTCACTGATCTCCTAGTTCCTGGCGATGCTCTGATACTGGGGGACCCCAAAGCTCATTCGTCCCTCTGGAACACGAATCTCGAAGAACATCAACGAGGTCAAGTACTCTCCAATGAAATCACCGAATCCACTTTTTCACCATTAAATGACAATAACAAAACAAGAGTACTCTTAATACAGATGCACAATATTCCTCACCAGATATTTCCCTGGCATCGCTAACTCTTTTACTTTCTTCCTCCTGGAACCCTATCAAAACTCTTGGCTCCGACCACCTTCCCATACTTATCCAATTACCCCTCAAAAACGACATACCTTTTTCTCCGACATACATAAATTTCCTCAGGGCTGATTGGCGGCAATTTACAGAGGAGATTCAGACGGTTATCCTCGTTTCGAGGATTCCTCCTTTAGCTGCGGCCGGAGAAAAATTTTTCAGGGATCTGGTGCTCACGGCAGCACGCCAAAACATCCCTTCCGGGCGTCACCACCATTCTATCCCGTCTCTTTCTCCGGAGTCAGCTACTCTTGCTGCTGAGAGACCGCCACAAAAATCAGCCCATGAAAACCACACAGCACTCTCGTTACACAACTTCTAAACTTAACTCCCAACCCCTGAATCAGACAGCGAAAGTCAAGTGAAGTAAATGGCGTAATTTCCTCCAGACCAGTGATTACCACACTGGTGCCAGAAAGTTCTGGAAAGTGGTAGGCTCCTTAAACGGATCCAGGCCTATGGCAGGGAGGCACCCTATTAACTTTGGCTCTAAAACCATCACCTCCGATACTGACTTAGCAAAACATTCAATAAGCAATTTACCAATGCTAGAATCCATACCTCCGACAAGTTTTTCAGCAAAAACAAAGTGCAAAACAAAGTTGCCAAACTTTCTTTTTCTGATAATCTATTCTCTCTCTCCCCCCAACAAACTAAACAAGACATCGCGGATAGCAAACCCTCACGAGCACTCGGTCCGGATGGCCTTTGCAATGCCCACGTCAAAAACCTCGGACCGCTTGCACTAGATTACATGACCCATTTGTTTAACCTTTCGCTGTCTGAAAATATTATCCCTCAAATGTGGAAAAACTCCAAGATAATCCTCCTGCCCAAACCTGAGAAGGACCATAAAAATTCCACTTCATATATGCCTATTTCACTACTGCGCCCCGCTGTCAAAATGCCCCGCTCATCCACCCCTTTCAATAAAGCACCTTCCAAAAGCCACACGCAAACACGGTTTCCATTTTCACTCCACCACAACCGCACTCTCCACATTTGAATTTTTTTTATCATTGATGGTTTTAACCAAAACCGCCCACCTTTGCGTTCTGTCCAAGCCACATTAGATCATTCTAAGGCATTTGATATGGTATGTCAAAGAACACTAGTGGAACTCATTCATGACACCCCGCTGCCAAGAGGCAAAGTTCATTGGCTGAGCAATTAATTCTGAGGCCTACAAGCCGCGACTAGTTTCAACAATCAAGAATCCCCCCTTAGAATTGTTCACTGCGGAGCTCCTCAGGGCTCAGTATTAACAGTACAATTTTAACGTCCATGACCCCCTCGACACCCTGAAAATCTTTGTCTCAGCTCATACGCCGATGACTTTCATCCTTCAGCCTAAAGTCCTGACATCGAGGCATCATCATGCTCACTAAATGCTCACTAAAAGCATCATCTAAACAACCGTTTTAATTTTTTCACTTCCAGTAAGCTACCATTCGCGTCATCTTAAGGATCAGTTACCTTGCTTTCGTCTTACAACAAAGATTTTAACAAAACGCCAACATTTAACATTCTTTTTAAACGACGAGCCATCTCTTTTTAAAAATCCAAAAAGTTTAGGGGGTACATTTGACCCGACCCTAAGCTTTGCAACTCACTGCAAGAGACCTGCTGACAAGGCTGGACGCAGGATATGAGTCCTGAAGGCGTTAGCAGGTTCCTCTTGAAGTAAGTCTAAAGAGACCCTACTTTTAACCTACAAAGCCTTACTTAGCCCTATTTTAGTCTATGCATCCCCGGCCTGGGCGCATGCCGCCAGCTAAACTTCCACTAGTCACCTGCAGGTCACTCAATATCAAGCCCTCCGTGTGATCACTGGCTCAACTCTAATGAGCTCCTCTGCCCACCTGCATAGTGAAGCCGAGATCCTAAACATTGATAATCACCACTCCCTTTTAACTTCTCAGTTTTTAATTTCAACATATCGCTTGCATCATCCAAATCATCACTATCACTTTTACCCAAACCAATTTTAAAGACGTTACAGACTCCCTCTTAACCGACCTATACCCGTCAATAAATCTTAACGACTCAAAAAAATTTCGACTTTCATTTTTAACCGCTACAAGCACCCTTTTAAACAAAGCCATACAAACCTAGTAATCAGGTAGCTATCAGAAACCCCTCCCTCAAAATTAATTTGTATTCCACCACCTAGCATCGACCCTTCAGAAAATACCCTCCCATAACCACACGCTGTGGGCTTTCCTAACTTCGGTCAGGCTACAGACGGCTTTTAAACACCTACCTCGTCCACTTAGACACTAAGTTTGTACACTTGCCCTATCTGTTTATTGTCACCCTACACTAGTTGTCACCTTTTCAACTGCCCCAGTAATCCCTCTTCTTTTAATCCCGAGCCTGAGGTCAAAGCCGGTTGAAATATCGAAGTTCCCTAGCGTGGAGACGGATGAGCTGAACCCGCCCAACATGGGCTAAAGAAAGAAAGAGCTACGTTCATCGACGTAGCTCTTCTCGAAATGGCATTTTAAGAATTGAATTTCAGAAAACCTAAAAAAGCTGGTTAACTCTGTCAAAAAAAAACTCGGAGCATCTAAGAAAGCTGGATCAACACGTCAATTTGTTATTCCGTTGCGAAATCTAAAAACTTGAATCCTTCACACACCTTTCAAGCTTAATTTCTGCTTTCGCAATGTAAGAGCAGAATTTATTTAACTTTCAGCAGATGGATTCAAATTGAGCTCAAAAATTGCATATACATCTAAGTTCATTCATTTGCATTAATATGTAGAATGCAGATCTGTAGTTATGAACTACGTTCATTACTCTTAGAGATAAGAGCTAGCGTATACGATGAGGCTTCGCCAAAAACGGTACAAGATTTAAACAGTGAATACAAAGACTACACTTATAAATTGACTTCGAAGTCGCCTTGAGATTACGTAGGAGAAGTTAAACCGCAACGTTAACATAAAACACAAAGACTAAGCTGCGCTTTCAAAACACTAGCAAGAAACAGACAAAAAAGCACCTCAGGACAGTGAAATCCGAAAAAAGGTAAAAATTAGCCCTTGAGAATTAAAAAAAATTGGTGGCCAATTCGATCCAACGACCATGAAATTTAGAGTTCCTTTTCCTCGCATCTGCGTCACCTGCCGTTGAAAATTCAATAGCTCTAGACAACAATAAAGCAGCGATATATGCAAAGGGGCTAAGTTGTTAACCAGAATAGCCTTTTACCAGACCGACCTTATACCAGACCACAATGCAATAACTCGGTCAACATAAGTTAAAATTAGTTGAAGACTTAAAAAGGAAGCAATTAAGGTTAAACTATACGAAACTCCGCTGACAAAACCGTGACATAATTATGTCTAACCAGACTAAACGGCGTCATTACATCTGTCAATCAAATTTGTTTAGCAAGTCTGGTAAAAGGTCCATGTTTTAACTTTTCAGCAAAGAAGTGGGTCTGGTGAAAGTTCGGTCCGCATAAATTAATAAAGGTGGCCAGTCAAAAAACAGAATGGTCTAAGAGCAGAAAGGGTCTAAGTGCAGAAAAATATTAACTATTATGAGTTTATCGGTTAATTAAATATTGTCAACCTTGTCAACATTACAGTTAATTAAACAATTACTAAAGAAACGAATGTTTTATGCATAGCTTGAATAAATTGATAGAAATTTTTTAAACAAAAATTCAAAAAAAAACGATGAAAGTGTTCAATTTACCAATGAATGTAGCATTCTTTGGTATTATTGAGGATTATATTAATTGTTTTTTCAATTCGCCGGTATAAATCAATAAAAATTATTATTTTTGTGCTCTCACCCATTCTGCTTGTTTGGATCATTCTGATTATGCTTATTACTCCGCCTCCGCTAATAAATTACCCATGCCATGAAGCAAAAGTGGCACCAGAGAAAAAACACAACTTGGCTTGTAATAATTTGGAATACAACAAGCTAAAGGCATCCACACAAACTTTGCATGTGCTGATTTAAATTATCCGGACCAATTGAACAAAAATTAAATTTCAAACGCATTTTTCTCAAACTGGGTCAAGATTAGACAAAAAGTGAAGAGGACAAAAGTTGCTTAGAAATTCACCAGAATTAATATTCTCCAAAATTCTCAACCAAAATTGTACCCCAAAAATAGGTCATTTTGGCAGTTTTTAATTAATCGAGAATTACGCTGGAACTATTTTGTTTAAAAAAATAAGAAAAAAATATCACAATAAGCCTCTTACACAGCTCCACAAATTTCTTGAAAGGTTAAATCTCCAAAAACCTGTAGAAGAGAAAAAAAATTGCTTGACAGTCAAGAAATGTAATTTTTACAGTATAAAACCAAAATCTTTGCTTAAAAACAAATTGTAAACAAACTGAGCAAACTTTTGGAGGTTTAACCTTTGTAAAAATTTGTTCGGTTGTGTAGGAGGCTTCTTGTGGTATAATTTTCTTATCTATTAACAAAATAGTTTCTTCATTAACTAATAACAGCCAAAATGGTTGAGAATTTCGGAGAAAAAATTGGGTCATACGAATTCTGGTGAAACACTATGCAACTTTTGCTCTCTTCAATTTTTGTCGAATCTTGACCCAATTTGAGAAAAACGCGTTGAAAAATTCTTTTGTTCGGTTAATTTAAATCAGCACAATATTTCGCAGCAAGAAAACTGAATGTTCGTTTCATGGAGTAGCCAACGGCTTTACAAAGTTATGCACACCGATTTGCCATAAAATTAGATAAAACATGATACCGGTGAGTTTATGTATCATTACAGGTTTAATTTTCCAGCAACAATCAATGGCATAAAATCGATGCAGTGGGATAATAAAAAAAAATTCGAGAATAAAAAATAAGTTATACATTTTGTTTGTAACTAATTTATTATGAAGTGACTGTTATTGAAAAAACTAATAGCTCAGTCTCGTACTTATAAATCTCGGTGACTTATAGTCTAATCCTGATCTGTTTCTTCCTCGCGCGCTGTTTCATCTAGGGCGAGAAACCAGTTTTAACAGCCCAAAAAACTTACCAATTAACATTTAGTATACGCCGTATCAATTATACAGCATATATTACCCGTGAACAATTGAACTGCTCTTATACCATTGTCTTTTATTTCGATCAGATAGAAGAAGAAAAATTTATTTATCCAAAACAAACTTCAATCATCAATTTGATTTCAACTAGTTACAAAACAATTGATATCGAACCATTCAGTTCAGTACATAAAATTGCAAAAGATAGACGAAAGGCGCATTGCGCGCCTTCTTAAGGCCTATTCAAATAAATTAAAGTTATAATTAGAATAAAAATCATAATAAAAATCATGATAAATAATTTTTTAAGCTGTTTTTTAATATTATTTTTGGAGATTTTGCACAATTCGGTAGCATGCATTCAGGTCAGGCTGTTATCGACAATATTTTACGATGTCTCAATAACCTCAATAGTAAATGAATAAACAAAAGGGAAAAATGAGAATTACTATAAAAATTGGAGAGATAAGAAAAACAGGATAAAAATTTCGGTTGAAGACGAGCCCATTTACATTAACGATAATCTAGCAAAATGCGCTACCAAGATGGTCTTAAAAATACAAAAACTTATTCGAATAACCGTACGGTATTAGATGAAATTGATATGAATTATATATAATTACAATACACTCTAAAAGTTATGAAAAGTGAGCTCTTTCGATACATAATTTTCAATTAGTCAATCTATTTAAGTGAGTAGCTAACTTGTGAGAATGAGCGTGAACTCGGATCCACATGCCACCTGTTGCACCTGGCGCGACCCCATCCCCCCTCCCTCCACCTGCCGGGGTTTTCTCTGCGACTTTACCCCTCCGTGGCCCAGCTGACCAGTATTGGCATCGGGGGTGCAACCACTAGGCTAAAACAACAAAAGAACGGTCTTCGAAAAACTTCCTGACTGCGAATTCCGGTCTGTTTCAACATATTTAAAGCCCCAGAAATACATTACTTATTTTTTGAAAAAATAATAATAGCCCGAGTCGGGATTTGCGATTTATGGCTCGACCAAAGCGAAGTAGTAGTGATAACCATAGGTGCCTATTCGCATCCGATATTTGTTTAAGCCAGATACTCAATTTGACAAATTTGAATGATCCCAATCATTCAAAAATTTAAAAGCCAGTTGATTTGTATATGATTTGCATAGGGAAAGGAACTTGGACGTTCACCTAATTCTAGGTTCAGCCAACACCAAACTTGCAAACTTAATAAATTTGCAAGTTGATTAAATCTTAAAATCGCCTATTTTTTTTACTAGGTCATGCTGATCGGCTCGCATACTGGTCGGCAGTTCCCCGTATTACTTCCAGACTGCACGTAACTCCAGTGTCTAACAAAACTGTAACAATCAGGGGCGGATCTAGGATTTTTTCTAGGATCTAGCTCTCCCAAAGCACTTTTTTGTCCCTATTTGCAGCGCCGCAAGCAAAATTTTGAAAAAAAAAACAGGCCAAAAAAGGCGTTTTTAGGCACTTTATAGAAAATTTTGACCAAAAAAATTGCGTTTTTTCGGCGCGCGCTCCCCCCTCAAAATTACTATATATTGGCGCCTACGGCGCCTTTAGAAAATTTGTAGGGTCATCACTTAAAATGGATATTGGAAAAAAGTACAAAGGTGGACCCTTTGGGTCGGCAGGGGTTCAAATCCCTGAGGGGGAGGCGTCCGCTTCCCCCTAAGTCCGCCCTTGGTAACAATCTTTCAAAATTTTACTTTCAGCCCTCACACAGTCTAAGCCATTAAAAAATCGGTCATTATTTTTTTGCATGTTTAATTAGCACGCATTTACCATGCATCGCAAATACATTCAGCTTCCTAACGTGTATACCCCAATTTTCACAGAGGTATCAAAATTGTCCAATATTTACAGTTTCTCTGCGGAGTTAATAGAAGAAACTAGTTCGAAGAAAAGTCAATATTATTCGACTTGAAGCAAAAAAAAACTCAAGAAGTTTCAGTATTTGGTACATTCACCTCGCGCTGCATTTATCTCTCTAACTTGTCGAGGCAAGCTGTCAATTAGGTCTAGGTATGATTGTAGAGGAATGCCATTCGGCCTGAACCCGTTCCCTAAGCTCGTTTATGCTTCTGGGGGCATCAGGATATGTCTGTGTTCTACGCTCGAGGTGATGCCTTACATGCTGAATTGGATTAAGTTCTGGTGACTGCGCTGGCCACTCCAGAATTTGAACACAATTTTTGAATATTCCAGGATTTGAACACAATTGGGCCGTTGAAGTACTGTCAGAATTTCTGTATAAAGACTGGCATCAATATTTCTTTCAATTTTGCAAGCTTGGCCCACCCCTAGCGTAGTCATGCATCCCCAGAGCATCAAATTTCAGCTTCCAAATTTCATTGTCACTTGCACATGCTGATCGCGGATAGCTGTATGAGACTCCCAATTAATCTTAGAATTTGCTCATCGTTATCGTCATTGGACTATCGATGATTGGAGGCGTGCAAATCGGTCGGATGAAGCAAAAATCGATTGAGGACCTAATGGTTTCCAGTGGGTGTAGAAGAAGTCTCATGGACCCAATCGCGATCAACTTGTGCAAGGGACACTGAAACTTGAAGGCAAAAATTTGATGCTTTGGTTATGCATGACTTCGTTAGGGGTTGGCCAATCTTGTAAAATCTAAGGAAATATTGATGCCAGTCTTTATACCAAAATTCTCACAGATAACCTACTTGGAACTATCGAGCACTTCAACTGGACCAGAAAAGATGCAATTTTTCAACCAGACAACGACCCAAAAGATACTTTCAACTTGGCAAAACGTTGGTTCAGGGAAAATGGTGTTCAAACTATGAACTGCCCGCACAGTCATCAGATCTTAATCCGATCGAGCATTTGTGGCATCATCCCAAGCGTACACTACAGACATATCATGATGCCCCCAGAAGCATAAACGAGCTTTGGGAACAGATTGAGGACCAATGGAATTCCTCTACAAACATGCCTAGACCTAGTTGACAGTATAAATCGACGAGTTGGAGCAATTATTGCAGTGCTACGGGAAGCACTAAGTGCTGAAGCTTGTATCTTGAGTTTTATGTTCACTTCAATTCGAATGATATAATATTGACTTTTCTTCAAAGTAGTTTTATCTATGAAACTCGCAACAAAACTGGAACAGTATTAAACAAATTTGAAACCTTCCTGAAAACTGGAGTATAAACGTTAGGAAGTTGAATTTATGTGCGATGCATTTGTAAATACCTGCTACAGCTAATTAAACATGCAAAAATAATGACCAATTTTTTTATTGGTTTAGACTGTGTGAGGGCTGAAAGTAAGACTTTGAAAACAGAGGCGAAGCTTCGTTCCGCAAACACTAGCGAGAACACGACAAAAATCAGCTCTAGAAAATGCGATATGAAAAAATCGTAATAAGTGTTGAACTAGCAAAAAATCGGCTAGGTCTAGGATTCGATCGGCGAACTACTGCAATCAGAGATTTTGAGTCTCGCGCACTAACCACACAGCCACGCACGCTTAACAACCGACAAACACGAATAAAGCAGCTACATACGCTAATAAATTACCATGCCACTCAGCAAAAGTGGCACAAAATACAAATAAACACAATTTTGCAAGTAGTAATTTGGAATATAATAAACTGAAGGCATCCACACTAAATTTGCATGAAACAAGTCGCAAAGCATTGAGCCACATTATGCATTTCAAAAATTGCGAGATATTGATTAAGAAAATTTCTGAAATCGAGTTTTTATGATTGTTATGTTGTTTGAAACAAATAGCTTCTTTCGGTTGGTTCATTTGCATTGGAATTTAAAATGCAGCAACTGATTCAACTTATAACTATTCGAATGTCAAAGCATACGCTATCAAAAAGCTGTGAAGTTGCCCCAAAAGTGGAACCAGAATTTGCGACTTAGGTTAGAAAAAAAGAAGGTTTTTAATGTTACACTAAGCTGAAGCTATTGTAAAAAAAGAAGGCTCTCAATAAATTACTAATCTGACGCTAGTGTACACATAATTACAGTTTTGTGAGACACTGCATATGAGGCTTTTCTCAAACCGTTTAAGTGTACTCCATCAACGCCTCAGTTCAATTACATCATAGATTATCTATGGTAACACTGATATAATATTTTGAGTTTTAATACACTGACACGTTTTTTTAAAAAAAACCCGCCCAATTGTGGACTGTAGAGAGTGTGCAGAAGTTTCTTTGTGTAATAAAACATTCAAGCTTCTGCTCAAACTTAGTTGTATCGGGTTAGTTTTAAATCACAACTAGTTTTTTTTTTAAATCACAAAAAACGTCACCTCGAAAACTACAGGAACTTGAGCAGTCATAATTGGAGTCCAGTTTCGCAAGCCCCTGAGCAAACTCTGATAGCCCCCAACTACAGGGTTTGGAATTTCAAATTTAGAAAAAAAATTTCGTTAAGTTTTCTGAAACTTTTTTGAAAAATCATTAAAAAAAACGTCATCTCGAAAACTACAAGAATTGGAGCAGTTATAATTAGAGGTGAGGCTCGCATTACCTGAGAGTACTCTGATAGCCCCCAACTACAGGGTTGGGAAGTTCAAATTTTCAAGAAAAAAAATTCGTTAACTTTTTCTGAAATTTTTTTGAAAAATCACAAAAAGTCATTTCTCAAAAACTACAAGGATTTGAGCAGTCATATTTGGAGGCAAGATTCGCAACTCCTGAAAAAACCCTGCTATAGGGTACGGAATTTCAAATTTTAAAAATACTTTAACTTTTTTGAAATTTTTTTGAAAAAATCATAAAAACGTCATTTCTCGAAAACTACAAGGATTTGAGTCGTCTCATTTGGAGGCAAGATTCGCAATTCTTGGGATTACTCTGACAGCAACCAACTTCAAGGTTGGGAAGTTCAACTTTTGTAATTTATTTTGTGATTCAATTTTTCTTAAAATCTTTTAAAAAAACAAAAATCGTCGGATATCGTACACTAAAAAGATTTGAACATTTTTATTTTGGACGCAAATTTCGCAACCACTTTGTGAAAACTGACAGCATCCCACTATTGGGCTGCTTTTAAAAACTCGGTGGAATAACCACTGAATTCAAACTGGAAAATCGAAAAAAAATCTTAACCATTGTGGAACCTGATCTAAACTACATTTTATGATTGGATAAATTAGATATTTTACCACTGTAAAGTATTTAATATTAACCAATCATGATCCATCTAACTAACAACCCACTTATTTGTTAGTGCTGAAATTACTTGTAATTTCAGCACCAGAGAGATTTGAATTTAACTTAGAAATTAGTTGACTCTCCAAGAAGACTTCAGCAGCCGCAATAAACCAGTATACCCTAGATCTATTGAGCCTAGCAGAGACTAGTTAAACAACCTGAGACTAGATAGTATAAGAGTAAGATTAGGATCGGTATTAGACTAAGAAGTTGCACGAATCTATCCGGCCGAAAATAAGATAGCGTGACGAGCAGACGGTGTACCCTATCCGAAATTACTCTATGAGTTATACACTTCGGTCCTAATTCATCTGGTGCGACCATAAGTCTCGAACAAGACCTTAATAGCTTAGAATTAACCAAAAATAGATTAGAATTTAGACAAAACATTTTTAAAATGTTACACGACGATAATTTAATCGAAATGTCTCTACGACTCAATAGATCAAAGCCAATATTCCGAACGATAAGAGAACTACCCGGAACTGCAAGAAGACCTCGAACCAGAGACGACATACGACAAAGTAGAAACTTACCATATAGTTATATGATAGTTCGGCAAAAGCCAACACAAACTTTTGTATTTAGAATACTACTAGCAATGAATTTAGATTTTCATTTGCAAACATAAAATATTGAAGTCAATCTTCAAAA